TGTCGGACCATATCGGTGGTCAGACCAAGTCAACATTGACATTGAAATACAACACCACTTGAGCTCTGCAAGTGCAGCATTTTCTCAAATGAAGCAGAGAGTGTTTGAGGATCGGTACATTTGTAGGATACCAAGATACTTGTCTATAAAGCTATTGTCCTCCCAACCCTGTTATACGTCTGCAAAATGTGAGCTGTTTACAGGTGTCACACTCAACTTCTGGAACAATTCCATCAGCATTGCCTCAAAAAAATCCTGCAAATCTCTTGGGAAGATAGATGGACAAATTCCAGGGTGCTGGAAGAAGCAAAGACCACCAGCAATTAAGCAATTATCCTTCTCCATCAACTTTGCTGGACTGGCCACCTCAATCACCATCTCCCAAAGCAGTTACTCTACTCTCAAGTTAAGAATGGAAAACAGAATGTTGATGGACAGGAAAAGAGATTTAAAGATGGGCTTAGAGCTAACCTTAAAAACCGTGACATAGACACCAAGAACTGGGAAGCCCTGGCCCTTGAGTGTTCTAACTGGAGGTCAGCTGTCACCAACAGTGCTGTGGAATTCAAAGAGGAAGAAATGGAGGGTGAAAGGGAGAAACGTATTAAGATCAGGATGTATCAAGCCACTCCTTGTCGGGGCCACCTTCCACCTGGAAATCAATGTCCTCACTGCGAAAGAACATGCGGATCAAGAACAGCCAGCTACAGACCAACCGCCAATACCCTACACTTGGAAGGCAATCATACTCAGACACGACCTTCCCCATTTAGTGCTTGTCTACTCATCTGACTTTTAAGTAACATCTTCCCACCTACCTTTGTCTCCCAACAATTATCATTAATACTGAACCGGTCACCTTATCACTATATCCACAGTTTTTGCATTTCTAAGGCTATTAACATACATAATCCACCTGTAAAGGTCTATTCCTAAGTACTTCACCCTACTATCTTTGTTTTCCCATTTAGTCTTTAAGATGTTTAAAGGTGTTTAAGGCATAATTTTTTAAAAATATAATATGTTTTGTTTACTTTTCACTTTTATGGACTGTTTAGTTACTTGTGTTGATTCTATTTCAATTGGTTATTGGTTTATTGATTTACTACCCTTGTTTTATTTTTATTATTGTTGTGTTATTTACACTGTTGTAAGCCATTCTGAGAGCTCTCAGGGAGATGGGATGGAGTATAGATAAAGTTGTTGTTGTTGTTGTTGTTGTTGTTGTCCCATTGCATAGAGGTTAAGGATTTAAATGGAAATCTAATACATATTGTGATCTACTAAAATCCTTTTATGTAGTGATTCTCATCTAGTTTTAATGGCAGCAAACAGTCCATTACTTATTCAACTAATACTGTTAGTGTTGAATTTGGAGGGGATATGAGTTTTGTGATTAATGTATTTGGCTTATTAGAATAGTGCATATTAGAAATTGAAATATCACCCCATTGGTTTTTTAATATTACATTTCATTTTTCTCTAATGTGACTACTTACAATTGCTTTTCCCCTATGACTATGTAAATTCAGAATAGCTTTATTGCATCTGATACAAGTCCTCAAAAGCTAATCCTGTGAGAAACATAAAAATAGATGTATTACATGTTTATATTTGTAATATTAATGTGTAATAAATATGTCAGTCCTTAAAGTCCAACACATTTTGGTGGTGATTTTTTGCTGTCATTGTTGTCATTTCCAACTCTTCGTGACCTCCAGACCAGCCCACGCCAGAGCTCCCTGTCTGCCGTGGCCATCCCCAGCTCCTTCAGAGTCAAGCCAGTCACTTCAAGGATACTATCCATCCATCTTGCCCTTGGTCGGCCCCTCTTCCTTTTTCCTTTCATTTTCCCCAGCATCATCATCATCTTCTCCAAGCTTTCCTGTCTTCTCGTTATGTAGCCAAAGTACTTCATTTTTGTTTCTAATAGCCTTCCCTCCAGTGAGCAGTTGGACATTATTTCCTTGAGTATGGACTGGTTTGATCTTCTTGCGGTCCAAGGCACTCTCAGAATTTTCCTCCAACACCACAATTCAAAAGTGTCTATCTTCCTTCACTCAGCTTTCCTCATGGTTCATAATAATGGCTCCTTATGCTGCCATAGATTAACAAAATTATCCCACTAGAAGTCTCAGTTAAGACTTGTGCAATAGCTGCACCCACTCCTAGATCTGGCTACAATGACACATGTCTTTGTTTCACCCCTTCTTGATCACTGTAATGAGCATTCCTTGCCTAAGAAAATTATATTAAATTAATGGGTTCACCATATGTTGACAGGCAAGTCAAAGATGCACAACACAAACAAACAAACAAACAATGTGCTCTATGTGGGACTGCTTGTGAAAAGTGTTCAGAAACTATAGCTGGTCACGAACAAATTGGTAACTGGGCCCAACTACAAGGAACACACAACTACCTTGTTTACACAACTTCGCCAACTGCTGGTTCATATATTGGACACAATTCAAAGTTCTGAGTAAAGCCTTTAAACTTTCATACGGCTTAAATCTAGGTTATGTGAAGGGCCATATTCTCCCATATGGCCTAAATAGGTCCAAAACACCTGGAGGGCCAATGTTTGCCCATGTCTGGTCTACCCAAACATCTGGAGGGCTGACGTTTGCCCATGCCTGGCCTATCCAGGTCCAAAACACCTGGAGGGCCAAAGTTTGCCCATGTCTGGTCTACCTGGATCCAGAACACTGGGAGGGCCAAAGTTTGCCCATACATGTACTCTACCAAAACACCTGGAGGGCCAAAGTTTGCCCATGCCTGGCCTACCCAGGTCCAAAACACCTGGAGGGCCAAAGTTTGCCCATGCCTGGCCTACCCAGGTCCAAAACACCTGAAGTTTGCCCATGCCTGGCCTACCCAGGTCCAAAACGCCTGGAGGGCTGAAGTTTGCCCATACCTGGACTCTACACAGACACCTAGAGGGCCAAAGTTTGCCCATGCCTGGCCTACCCAGGTCCAAAACGCCTGGAGGGCCGAAGTTTGCCCATGCCTGGCCTTACTTACTTAGGTGATCCCTCTTTGTCCGAGTAGGATTGTCTTCCAAGATCGGTGTACTGGCGGTGGGTCCGTAGGTGACTGTGGAGCCTTATTCTTGTTCTGCATGTTCTCCCGCAGTGAGGGCATTGGTTTCCAGGTGGAAGACGGTCCTGGTCAAGGTTGGCTTGACACACCTTCCTCTTGGCAAGTTTCTCTCTTTCGCTCTCCATTTGTGCCTCTTCCAATTCTACAGCACTGTTGGTCACAGCTGACCTCCAGCTGCAGCGCTCAAGGGCCAGGGTTTCCCAGTTCTCGGTGTCTATGCCTCAGTTTTTAAGGTTGGTTTTAAGCCTGTCTTTAAATCTCTTTTCCTGTCTTCCAACATTCCATTTTCTGTTGAGTCTGGAGTAGAGTAAACACTTTGGGAGATGGTGATCGGGCATTCAGACAAAGTGGCTGGTCCAGCAAAGTTGATGGTGCAGGACCGTCCCTTCAATGCTGGTGGTCTTTGCTTCTTCCAGTATGCTGACATTGTCTGCTTGTCTTCCCAAGACATTTGCAGGATTTTTCAGAGGCAACGCTGATGGACTCATTCCAGGAGTTGCATGTGATCCTTGAGGTCATGACCCTTTCTGTAGATAGTCCACGTTTCTCAGGTATATAGCAGGGTTGAGAGGACAATCTATATAAATAAAAATGCAATGTTCGTTTGTGGGATTATCAGAACTCAAAAACCACTGGACAAATTGACACCAAATTTGGACACAAGAGACCTAACAACCCAATGTATGTCCTTCACTCAAAAAAATGATTTTGTCATTTGGGAGTTGTAATTGCTGGGATTTATAGTTCACCTACAATCAAAGAGCATTCTGAACCCCACCAATGATGGAACTGAACCAAATTTGGCACACAGTTCTCCCATGACCAACAGAAAATACTGGAAGGGTTTGGTGGGCAGTGTTCGTTGGTTTTGGAGTTGTAGTTCACCTACATCCAGAGATCACTGTGGGCTCAAACAATGATGGATCTGGACCAAACTCTACACGAATACTCAGTATGCCCAAATGTGAACACTGGTGGAGTTTGGGGAAAATAGAATCTTGACATTTGGGAGTTGTAGTTGCTGGGGTTTATAGTTCACCTACAATCACAGAGCATTCTGAACCCCACCAACGATAGAATTGGGCCAAACCTCCCACACAGAACCCCCATGTGGGCCACAGCAACGTGTGGCAGGAGACAGCTAGTAGCTTTAAAAACAAGCACCTTGGTATCCCTACGGATGTCCCGGTCCTCAAACACTCTCTGCTTCATTCAGAAAAATGCTGCACTCGCAGAGCTCAAGCAGTGTTGTATTTTGGTGTCAATGTTGACTTTTGTGGAGAGGTGGCTGCCAAGAGGAAATGGTCATCATTTTCTAATATTACAATATTAAGCTGTATCTCTGGCATTGGAGAAGGGTTGGCTGATGTCTGCTGGAAGAGCACTTTGGTTTTCTCTATGTTCAATGACAGGCTGAGTTTCTCGTATGCTTCTGCAAAGGTGTTTAGAGTGGCTTGGAGGTCTTCATCTGAATGCGCACAGACGACGTTGTCATTAGCATATTGTCATCAGCATGCCTGGCCTACCCAGGTCCAAAACACCTGAAGGGCCAAAGTTTGCCCATACCTGGACTCTACCAATGCACCTGGAGGGCCAAAGTTTGCCCATACCTGGTCCACCCAAACTGGAGGGCCGAAGTTTGCCCATGCCTGGGCTCTACCAATGCACCTGAAGGGCCAAAGTTTGCCCATACATGGACTCTACCAATGCACCTGGAGGGCCAAAGTTTGCCCATGCCTGGTCCACCCAAACTGGAGGGCCGAAGTTTGCCCATGCCTGGACTCTACCCAAAGCGCTTCCCACACATAAAAAAGTCGGTCAGGTGGTTTGGGCACCTGAGGCCGAGAAATCCTCGCCCCCGCTCTGCCAGAGAAGACACCCAGAGAGTGCCGTGCAGCCAATAGGCAGCCCCGAAGCCTGCCCAAGCCATTCCTCCTTCCCTCCTTCCTTCCCTGCTGCATCTCTACCTGGGCGCAGGGCTCCAGGCGGCGGGGAGCTCCTGCCAAGCCCGCCCTCCGCATTAACCAGGGGAAGGGGAGCGCGGGGGAGGGAGAAGCCGCAGAAGCACCAGCCTCTCGGAGGAAAGGCATCTCCTTTGCTTCCTTTCCCTTCTTTCTCCTTTGCTTCTCTTCCACGAATTCCTCCGGAGCCCATACAAAAGACTCTTCTCCTCCTCCTTCTCTTTCAGCCGCGGCTCTCAGAAGCAGGTAAGCGGGGAAAGAAGAGAAGGAATGGCATTGAGCACCACTTTCAGCTGCTCTGGAGTCATGGGGTTGCAGCTTGGCAAGGTCTACTGACCAGAGCCTTCTTGGCACCCATTGTCACTCCCTATAGTACCCTTCCTCCTCTTGTCCTCGGAGCACCCACTTTAGGGAATGGTATTAATGCGGTTTGACGCCGGTTGGATCCCCACGGCTCCAGGAGAAGGAATCGTGGGAGTTGTAGCATGTTTTGACAAAGTCTGCCAAAGAGGGATGGTGCCTCACTAAACTATAACTCGCAGGATTCCCATAATGCTGATCAAGTGGTGTCAGGCTGCATTAATCCCACAATATAGACCAGGCATGGGCAAACTTGGGCCCTCCAGGTGTCTTGGACTCCAACTCCCACAATTCCTTAGCGGCTGAGGGGGAAAAGGAAAGGGCCTGAGGCTGTCAGGAAACGTGGGAGTTGGAGTCCAAGACACCTGGATTCAATGTATTGTCGAAGGCTTTCATGGCTGGAATCACTAGGTTCTTGTGGGTTTTTTCGGGCTATAGAGCCATGTTCTAGAGGCATTTCTCCTGACGTTTCGCCTGCATCTATGGCAAGCATCCTCAGAGGTGTGAGGTCTGGATTCGCTGGTAAGAGGGGATAGGAAAGGACCCGAGGCTGTTAGGAATTGTGGGAATTGGAGTCTAAGACATTGGATTAACGGCTGAGGGGGGGGGGGGAGTAAAGGACCTCAGGCTGTTAGGAATTGTGGGAGTTGGACTGCAAGACACCTGGATTAGCAGCTGAGGAGGGAAAGCAAAGGGCCTGAGGCTGTTAGGAATTGTGGGAGTTTGAGTCCAAGACACCTGGATTAGCGGTTGAGGGGGAAAGGAAAGGACCTGAGGCTGTTAGGAATTGTGGGAGTTGGAGTCCAAGACACTTGGATTAGCGGCTGGGGGGGGGGGGGGGAAAGTACCGCAGGCTCTTAGGAATTGTGGGAGCTGGAGTCCAAGACACCTAGATTCGCAGCTGAGAGGGGAAAGGAAAGGGCCCGAGGCTGTTAGGAATTGTAGGAGTTGGAGTCCAAGCCACTTGGATTAGCGGTTGAGGGGGCAAAGGAAAGGGTCTGAGGCTGTTAGGAATTGTGGGAGTTGTAGTCCAAGAAACCTGGAGGGCCCAAGTTTGCCCATGCCTGATATAAATGCATCCTGAGTCTCCTGGGTGTTCTGCGTGTATATGTGTGGTTTGCAACTTTGTTCCCAGACACACTAAGAAGGTAATTTTTCACCAATTGATAGCATTGATCAATATAATATGTGTTGTTGAATGCAACCCAATATAATATGGTTAACTCAGCCTCACCTCCCTGGGATTCAGTGGCAGTTGGATGAGGTACTGATTGTGAGCAGCTTTGATTCAGAGAGTTGGAAGTTAGTGAGAACTCCTTTCTTGAGAAGGGTGGTCTTTCAGTAGCCACCCAAATAATGTCAAGATGGGGAACAATACAGAAATCAGGACTATCTTCACCATGTACTGTTATTAGGGTACTACTACTTAACACTGATGGGGATGTGCAGGTTTTTCTAAGCTTTCACTGCCTGAGTTGCATCTCTACACATAGCATGAAAGTAACCATCATTTACTGAAAAGTCTGGTGTCCCAGGTTGTTGTGAGTTTTCCAGGCTGTATGGGCATGTTCCAGAAGCATTCTCTCCTAACGTTTCACTGGCATCTATGGCAGGCATCCCTAGAGGTTGTGAGACAACATTCACACCTACCTCCAACAGACAAGGGTTTTTTCTCCCACCCTGGATATTCCACAGATATATAAACCCAATTTTCCTAGTTTTCAACAGACTTCACATCTGAGGATGCCTGCCATAGATGCCAACATCAGGAGAGAATGCTTCTGGAACATGGTCATACAGCCCAGAAAACTCACAACAACCCAGCGATTCCAGCCATGAAAGCCTTTGACAATACATTGTGGTGTCCTGGTTTGAGTGTTGGATTATGACCCTAGAGGCTAAGGTTCAAATCTCTGCGAGGCTCTGGGAAGTGGCTTTGGGCAAGTCATACTCTCTCAGCCTCGGAAGAGAACCATGGCAAAGCCCACTCTGAACATGTCTTGCCAAGAAAACCCCAAGATACGGCCCCTATAACTCAAAAGGACTGAAGGCGCAGTACAACACAACCCAGAAATGTTGCACTGTTCTGCACCTTTCCTTGGGAGCCAACTCTTCTGAAGTCAGAAGAACAATATTTGAGCAATGCATAGGATTAAAGTGTGTTTGGTGAGCCTTGCTTCCTAAAGCATACTAACCTGAAGTCATGCTGGGAATAGTCATTTTATTCATGCAAGCCTTAGACCAGCATTTATCAACCTGCGAGTCAGGACCCCTGGGGGGGGGGGGGGTTGCGAGGGGGTATCAGAGGGCTCGCCAAAGACCTTCAGGCTCTGTTTTAGACCATTTAGGAATTGTGGAAGTTGGAGTCCAAAACACCTGGAGCGTCGAAGTTTGCCAATGCCTGGTATAGACTATGCCCCCTTCCCTAGATGTTGTGGGTACCTTAACACTTTTTATCATTTATAACTGATGCTTTTTATGCCACCTAAATGCTGCAAGTCGCCCTACACCACTGGAGAAATTACACTGTTTAGCCGGTATTGCACCACCTGACATCCGCTGGGAAGTAGCAACCAATAGTGAAAGGACTAAGGCAGTGACATCTCCAGCTCATCCCCTTTTTGGGTATCAGCCAGCACGTCAATGACTTAAATCAAAAAATAGTTTTCTAAGATCTACAGAGACACTCACGGGAACACCTCAGCAAGTGAGAGTCCAAAAGTGGCAAGCTCAAACCCAGAACCTCAATCCATGGTTGATACCAAATGAGAGACTCCCTCCTGGGCACACAGAAAACTGGACGACTTGGAAGGCACTGAACAGACTGCGCTCTGGCACCACGAGATGCAGAGCCAACCTTAAGAAATGGGGCTACAAAGTGGAATCCACAACATGCGAGTGTGGAGAAGAGCAAACCACTGACCACCTGCTGCAATGTAACCTGAGCCCTGCCACATGCATAATGGAGGACCTTCTTGCAACAACACCAGTGGCACTCCGTGGCCAGCTGCTGGTCAAAGGACATTTAATCAACTACCAAGCTTGCAAACTTTGTGTTTTCTGGTTTTGTTTGTTTATTTGTTTGTTTGTTTGTTTGTTAAAAATGCAACGCAACTGTTTGATCTGCCCCTGACATGATAAATACACAATATAACTGTATTCTCAATTCGCTTCTGACATGATAAATAAATGCCACCTAAATGTCCCCATCTGCCAGCATCACTACGAAATATGATGGTTGCACCCAAATAAATGATGTACAGTAGAGTCTCGCTTATCCAACCTTTGCTCATCCAACATTCTGTATTAACCAACGCAGTCTGCCTCCTGCCTGGATCCACAGCTGTTTCAATACATTGCAATGTTTTGCTGCTAAATTCATAAATGCAGTAATTACTACAGAACGTTGCCATGTATTGAACTGCTTTTTCTGTCAATTTCTTGTAAAACATGATGTTTTGTGCTTAATTTGTAAAATCATAACGTAATTTGATATTTAATAGGCTTTTCCTTAATCCCTTATTATCCAACATTTTCGCTTATCCAACGTTCTGCCAGCCCGTCATGTTGGATAAGCTAGACTCTACTTACTGTATTTGTGTCTTGAGATTATAATTCTACATTGAAACTTAATAGTAAAATAGTATTATTGACTGTAAATAAACCACCTTGTTTTGTGCTGCAGTGTGGCTGAGGAATATGTTTAGATAAAAATGTTGACTTTGCTTTCCAAGCTCAGTGTGCAACAGCTTTAGTCCAAGGGTCACAAAAGATGAAATAAATTGCTTGAGGTGCTCATTTTAGGAAGCAGCACAAGACTCACATGAAAAAGAAAAATCACAAATAAAGAAATAACTTTTTTTTACCTTAGAGAACCTCTCTCTAGGAATTCCTAGATCTTTCAGTATGAATCTAAAGAAATTTCTACTTTTTACCTAAAAGGGTATGCCTGCCCTGTTTGGCACAAGTCTGTCCATGCGAAGCAGGTGAATATAGCATTGAACTAAACATGCAGAATAATCACAGGATGTTTCAAACCTACACCTGTTGATAAACTCTACAGGCTAGCTGGCATTGCGCCCCTGATGTATGATGGGAAGTTGCTGCTAACTGTGAGAGAAATAAGACTGAATACTGTGAAAGCCATCCACTGCATGGCTATCTGCCTCCTTCCAGTAGACTTAAATCAAGGAAAAGCTTCATGAAAACCACCACTCCTTTCAATGTTCCCCCAGCAACAGCAAGAGCATCCCTCTGGGCAGCTAAACCAGGAAATCACAACAAGAATAGTCAACTTGGAAGTACCTGAACAGACTCAGAAGGGAAATGGGCAGATCAAAAGACAACCCGGCAACATGGCACTACCTAAAAGAATCCTCCACCTTGTGTGACTGTGGAGCAGAACAAACAACTTAGCACCTGTATGCTTGTCCATAATGCCCTGCCTCATGCACAGAGGAAGAATTACTTAAAGCTACAGAATGCAGTCGCTGTTGCCTGGTTTTGGTCAAAATGGCGTGCTTCTTCTATTTTATTAGTTTTTATACTTATTTATGCAATGCTTTTGACATGAATTTTTTAAAAAACTCAAAGAACTCTCTATGAATTTCTGGGTCTTTCAGCATGAATCTATAATCAATGTATGTTGGAAGCATATTAGAAGACCTAGAAATTCATAGAGGTGTTGTCTCTAGAAATCTCTAAATCTTTCAGCATGATTGGAGGAAGTTGAACATAGAGTCACAGTGAAAGACCTAGAGATACCTAGAGACAACACTTTAATCACATCCATGATTAAAAGTCAAACCCCCAAATGTGGAGGGATGACTGCAGCAAGTAAATTCTGCTCAATGCCCTATTGATGAAGTAGAATACTTTTGATGAAGTCAAACAATAGTGTTTTTTTTTTCCTGGTCCTCAAAATATATGAACATGGGGAGTATTAACAGTTGCTTCTTTCCAATCTTCTTAAAAGTGAAATGGGACACCTATTTGGTATTGCTTCGGGTGAACAAGTGGAAATTATGCTTGCTTGTAGTGGCCAAAACTGTAGGCCATCATGGCAGCAGTAGAGACCTCTTCAAGATTTAAATGCTGTGCAAGATGGGGATTTTCCAAGAAGTGCTGTACTTCTTGGGGAAGATCAGTATTTTCTTCTTTAGCAGAATTCCTTTCAAACGCTTCAATTAAAATTAATTTAAACATTTAATTAAAAAAAACAATTCTTCAAAAGCATCTTGGAGAAATTAAACTTTTAAAATAGCTTCTAATAATATCAGTGGAGGCTTTCCAAAAAATCTAATCAGGGGACAGGAAAGAAGCTGCAAATCATGATGGTTTCTTGGAGCTTGAGAGACCTTCACATCCAAATGATTAACTTAAACACAGAGACTGGACACTCCCTTCTCCTTTCCTAGCATTTATATTAGAGGTTACGTTTTCCTAAAATTCTTATGAGGAGGCTTCTAGTTGGTGTATTGATTTAATTTACAATATATTTGCTTCCCAAAAACACTTACGTACCTGTATGTATGTATATATGTGTATGTGTGTGTGTGGAAATGCATGAATTACAGTGTCTGAAGTTCACATCTGATTAATGTGTAAGGTATAGTAGAATGCATATACCATGAGATTGGTACCCATGGTTTCTCCTACCTACATCTGACAAAGTATGTCCTTTCTAGGAATTTTCTAGGTTATTCAAGCAATTGTGTTAGTAACAGAATTTAGACATAATCCCTCATGAATAAGCGTATACATACAATCCAAATAAGAATGCTATGAACTGTTCTCTACTGTGGATCTCCATTTGTGATATGTCTTTCCTTTGGAGTTCCAATTGACACCAAGATTGGCTTCCTTCTGATGTCAAGTCACAACAAGACCTTTATTTAAGACTTTGGAATTAGGATTTCTTCCTAAATGTACATGTTATTGTTAGCTGCCTTCAGCTTCAACTTACGGCATGCCTATGGATGAAAGATTACTAAAGTCCCTTCTATACTGCCATATAATCCAGATTATGAAAGCAGATAATCTACATTATCTGCTTTGAAATGGATTATATGAGTCTACACTACCATATAATTCAGTTCAAAGCAGATAACCTTGATTTTATATGGCAGTGTAGAAGAGGCCATAATCACCTCTTCATGAGTCCTGCTGTTATCTTCTTTTCCTGGAGAAATGTGAAGAGTACAATGAAGAGGACATCAAGTTCTCCAAAATAATAATTCTTCCTGATTCTTCTTATCCACCCGAGGAAGAATTATTATTTTGGAGAACTTGATGTCCTCTTCATTGTACTCTTCACATTTCTCCATCTGAGGAAGACGTTAGTCGAAACCGGTCTGGAAATCCTCTACGTGGATATCCTCTTACAAGCGACTGAAAACTCCACTCAAGAGTATCTTTAGAGAAAGCAAGGGATCTTATGCCCTTAAGAGAAGTCTGCTTTACAGCAAGAAAGACTCTACTTTTGTTACTGGTGTAAAATCACTGTATAAACAACAGTTTTTTGTTAATTGTATATTGCTTAATGCTGTATCACAGTGGTTCTCAACCTGGGGTCCCCAGATGTTTTTGGCCTTCAACTCCCAGAAATCCTAACAGCTGGTAAACTGACTGGGATTTCTGGGAGTTGTAGGCCAAAAACATCTGGGGACCCCAGGTTGAGAACCACTGCGGTACCATATAAGTTGGTTATACGTTTAATATTGCATTATATAAGCTGGAAAAAAAGTATTTCCATAAGTGAGTAAGGATTTGATCCTTGGTCTCTCAGTGTCCTAGTCCAACACTCAAACCAGGGTATAATGCAAATTGCAGCTTCTAGTGTCAGACAAACATGAGTAATATAAAGAAATCTGATGATCACCTTCAATGATCCTGTTACATGGGAATAGAAATATAATTTTAAGATTTTAAAAATATATGGACTGTGATGTTGTAGTTTGTGTGACATTTAACAGTGGCTCTTTTAGTTTTTCAATCAGGAAATATATATATTCTTAATCCAATGTTTCTCCAATTTAGGTTGCATTTTGAACAATCCTGGTCTTCAGTTCAAAAACAGAAGATGGAAGAGTCCATAGAACTTTCACCTGATGGGAACTCTCTGATAAAAGCTGTCTATCACAGAAGACTTCGTCTCACAAGATTGTTGCTAGAAGGTGGGGCCTATATCAATGAAAGCAATGACCGTGGTGAAACCCCTTTAATGGTTGCTTGTAAAACCAACCACGTGGACCACCAGAGTGTCAGCAAAGTCAAAATGGTGAAATATCTTCTGGAAAATAAGGCAGACCCAAATATCCAGGACAAAGCTGGAAAGACAGCCTTGATGCATGCGTGTGTGCAGAAAGCTGGTCCTGAAATCATCTCCTTGCTGCTTAAAAGTGGAGCAGATGTGAGCCTGCAAGATCATTCTGGCAATTCCGTCCTTGTTTACTCAGTGAACTCAGAGGATAAAGAAACACTGAAAGTTCTTTTAGATGCTTGCAAAGCAAAAGGAAAAGAAGTGATCATCATTACAAAAGATAGGTCTCCATCTGGAAAACAAAGAACAAGGCAATATTTAAATGTACCTCCACTTGACAGCGATGAATCTCAGTCTCTAGATTCTTGCACTTCCCCATCAGATGTAGAAGTTAAAACATCTCCATCTCTATCCACAAACACAAGCCAAAAAGAAAACGCTCTCTTTAACTTTAAAGAAAACCCTGGAAGAAAGGAAGATTCACCTGAACCACAATCGCCTTCAAGGAAAACACACAATGGACCTCAAACGCAATATGCGTTCTCTGAACCTTGGATGAAGACCAATTCTTCAATAGTGGGACAGAATCAAATACGATCTTTACAAGAAGAGCTTCAGGATATAACACCCGAAGAAGAGCTGTATCTTAAAATTAACAGTCTAGCCCTATCTAAGAGGTTTATCACTAGACATCACAGCATTGATATAAAAGATACCCTTAATTTCTTGAAAAACTTAGAGCAAACTTCCTCAAGAAAAATGTCCGGTGATGAGATAGGTTCTCATCTGCTCTCCGGTGAGATCAATCGAAATGAAATTCCTGCAGAGCAGAATTCAGATTCAGCCCAAACAAGTTTTGTATCCACACTGAAAAGCATTGTTCACAGGAGAAATTTGGGGGCAAATCACTACAGTTCTGATTCACAGTTGACAACTAGCTTAAGTCCCCTTACAGAAGACAGCAAATTGCTCCTTGGAAAGAAAAAGCTTCTCTCCCAGACACCATCCCTGTCATCTAGTTCCAGAGAACTGATTGAAAATATGCCTCCCACTTTCTTGAACAGGAGAAATCATGCTATTTTAGAGAGACGGGGTTCGGACCACACTGCTTTGGCTAGACCTGGTTTTCTTCCTCCTTTAAATGTGAACCCTCATCCTCCATTTTCTGATATACACAAGATAAATTCATTTTCTTGTGGGCAAAAAACCCTAATTCCAACTGCACCAGCTTACCCTAAGGATTTCAAAACTAAGACTCTCTTGACACGGAGGCAGTCGTTGCAGACTGAGCAGATAAAGCAGCTGGTGAATTTTTAGCTGATTACGAAGCAACAGCTGTAAATGGCATTTTAACAACTTGATGTTTTTGAAGTATGAGAGTTGGCCTCCCAAGTTTCTATGTTAACAAGGCAGCAGTTCCATATCTCTTACTCAGTACCAAACATTTTCCTTGAGCTTCAGCTGTGAAAAAGATGCTTTTGTTGGCTATGGATAAAATATGGTGCAAAATATCTCTGCCTTCACCATAACTTTCATAGTAAGAAACTATGGGTATGATTCCTCATTGCTGCACAGCGAATATAACTATTTTTTGGATGAGGCAAGACTTTGAGGCAATGTTTTGAGTTTGTTAATGCAGTAGAGTCTTGCTTATCCAACACAAACAGGTCGGCAGAACGTTGGATAAGCGAAAACGTTGGATAATAAGGAAGGATTAAGGAAAAGCCTATTAAACGTCAAATTACATTATAGTTTTACAAATTAAGCACCAAAACATCATTTTTTACAACAAATTGACAGAAAAAGCAGTTCAATATATGGTAACGTTATGTAGTAATTACCATATTTACGAATTCAGCACCAAAACATACAGAATGTTGGATAAGTGAGACTCTACTGTACTAAGCATTGTCTTTTATGAGACTAGTGGTGCTTTAACTTGTGTTTCAGCAGCTATTAAAAGATTAAAACTCAGGCAGTGCAATTGAGAACGGGACTATACTTTTGCCTATGGCATGCCTATGGATGAAAGATGATTAAAGTCCCTTCTATACTGCCATATAATCCAGATATTGAAATCAGATAATCCACATTATCTGCTTTGAATTGGATTATATGAGTCTACACTGCCATATAATCTAGTTTAAAGCAATAATCTGGATTTTATATGGCAGTATAGAAGGGGTCATAGTCTCCCGGTCCTCATTAGTCCTGCTGTTGTCTTCTTTTCCTGCTGAATTCTACTTCGTATGTATGGTAGTTGAATGTACTTAAGCTCATTGGTTTCAGTAGGCTTAGTCATACTTCATTGTGGCTACAGTCTATTATTCTTATATCAAAGTATAATTTTTGAAAAGGTTATAAATATCTTTGCAAAGGCAAATGCACACTGAGGAAAATTATATATATTTAGCAACAATTTTAAAGTGGGGTATTTGAACCATAAAATGTACAGCAATGTATAAAAGAGCTATGATTTGATCTAGTTGTTGATCAATGGAAGAAATGGTTTGAAATTCAAAATACATTTTTCAGCCTTACAAAGCAAATGTTATCCTCTCTAGCTCTGTGAAGCTTTTAGTGTTGATATATCAATATATAAAATATTTATTTATTTATTTCAAAATAACTGTGGAGGTGATAAAAGTCAACCAGAGGTGTATTTCATGATTGAGTGACTGAGTTTTGAAATGTATTTCAACTATTGTTGGCATTCAGACTTATTCTGGTCCTGGTATTTAACAGTATGGAACTTTAAATGAACAGGATCTGGGGGCGTGCAGAAACCTTATATTTTGGACACTTAAATTATAATTCCATGTTCTTATAGTGGCAAAGCTTTGAAATTCATGAGAAGAGGGGGGAAAGCCCATAGGAGCATAAAGTTATCTATTAGTCCAAGTGCACTTTGATTATGGTTTTATTGAACAGCACTGTAAAAAGAACACACTATGAACTTTATCCAGTTACATCATTGTGCTAATACAAAGCCCATTGTGCCAGTGGCTCTGTGTTTTCATAGTGGTATAAAAAGGGATGGTTGCAAGTGGTTGTGGAAGTGTCTACATAAACTCTAATGCAGTTGCTTTGCAGAACCTCTTGTAATCCAGTACAGTTGCACTATTTGGGATTGTAGCTTTGCTAGTGTTATCTGAATTTATATCTCTGTGTTTATCAAAACCACCTGGAGACCCACAGTTCTTGTTTTTATGTGTCCTTATTTCTTGCTTTCATTCTTTAAAACCTTACAATAAAACATTGATGTTGTTGGAAGAGATGAGAAAAGGCATAAATAAGGCGAAAAGGAGGAAGCCTTCCCTTCCTGTCACTCAAGCTGATTTCTGTTGTCCTGTGCCTTTTGTGCACAAACTAGATGTCCTATCTGCTTGTATGGAAGCTTCCCTTTGTGGCTTCTCTCTGTGTCTTCATGTATAGACTGGAATGACTGGTTTGCATTTTATTTTGAGTTGTGCTGTAAAGAAGGCTACAAACTCTTAGGCAACATAAAAGCAGCTGTCATGAAAAAATGTAGCTTGAATAGAGATATATAGTCACATCTATATAAATAAAAATGTAATGTTTGTTTGTGGGATTAACATAACTCAAAAACCACTGGGTGAACTGATACCAAATTTGGACACAATACACCTCTCAGGCCAACGAGTGACCATCTATATAAATAAAATGTAATGTTTGTTTGTGGGATTAACATAACTCAAAAACCATTGGACAAATTGACACCAAACGTGGAAACAATACACGTATCAGGCTAATGATTGACCATCATTCATAAAAACACTGAAAAACACAGCGGAAGAGACTTAAAAAGCCAAAAAAAAAAACCAAACAAACATTACAACGCATGCGCAAAAACAAACACACATATATACACATATATACACACAAAACACATATACACAGACTGGGCCACAGCAATGCGTGGCAGGGATGGCTAGTACACTATAAAACACTCATTATTTAATAGGGATATACTATCTTGGTATAAGTGAATCTATCAAGTTTTGCAAACAACACAGAACTGAATATTGCTAATGGAAAGCAAGAAAAAATTGGTTCACTGTTGGATTCAGAAAATAGAAGGAACTCAGTATGTTTCTGACATTTTGAAAGAGCCACATGCTACCAGTTGTCACTGACTACAGAAATATGATTAATGCTACTTCTGGGGAAAAGTGTCGGTACAATTAAGGCTGACATTTACAACATCAGTTCTCTTTCCCACCTCTGTAAAAGACAATGCCGTGGATGCTGTGAGAAACAGTAAGGCTGTTTCTCACAGCTTTCATCTGTAGAGCTTGCAAAAGGTGAAGAATAAAAAAGCACCTGTCACAATCCATTAAGACTCATCTGTATGAAAGAGCAACCCTCTCCCATGCTCAGACAATGAAGATGCTGCTGTGCCTCTGAACAAATGCGCCCCCTTCCTCATCCCAACTTTATTGAAACTACTAGGGGTGCATCTACACTGTAAAATTAATGCAGTTTGACTGTCATATCTCCATCCCATGGTATCCTGGGAGTTGTAGTACTACAAGGCTGTCAGCCTTCTCTGCCAAAGAGTGCTGGTACCGCACTAAATTGTAAATTCTATGTTTCCATAGTGCTGAGCTACACAGTTAAAGTGGTGTCAAATTGCAATAATTCTACAGTGTAGATGGGCTTAAGCGGCTGAGGGGGGAAAGGAAGTGTCCTGAGACTGTTAGGAATTGTGGGATTTGAAGTCCAAAACACCTGGAGGGCTGAAGTTTGCCCATGCCTGGTCTAAGATGTTGTGTAGATGCACCCTGGGTTTCTCTTTTGATGACAATTCACCACTCAGAATCACCTGGAACTACATGGGACTAGAACTGGAAAGGTTCTTGAATAATACCAATCATGACAGGAGGGAAAGAGTTTGCATATTGATAATGTATTTAATTGATAACAACTACAGGTGTCTATCAAAGGCAGAATTTGTCCCTTCAGTCGCCAATATGTTCTCTGTGTGTGTGTGTTTCCTGTGCTGCCCTCTGATATCACAAATTTTCTCAGTGTCCACATTCTTTTTCATCAGCGTTTCTTCCAATAGGAACATTTTTTGACACCTTCTGACTTCTTATCGATTTCATCTGTGAGTCAAGCCATGATACCATTTGTTAATCATTACGGTTTTTGCTGCAGTGGACGAACAGACATCCACTTTTGGAAGTCGTTTTGCCCAATATTTTTCCCAGATGATCAAGAGCCAATGTCATATTTTTTTTGTTCCCAGGTCCTCACCTAAATAAGTTTTCTTACTCCACCATCAATGAGAATTGTGTCAAAAGACACTGAGATACATCTCTTCTTTACCTCATATCTAACCTTTCATAAAGGAAGAAAAGAGCAGTGCAGTTAATCATCAGGTTACCTATACTCTTATTTTTGATTTAGTCTAAACGCCCTTAAGACACCAGATCCCATCTTATTTTGAAAGTTAAACACTGGCACCTCTAGTTAATACTTGGATGGAAGACTGCTAACAAATACCATATACTGTAGGTTATATTTCACAGGAGGAAAGCCCATGAGATATATAACCTGGTGTTTATAGTACCTGGTATTGCGGTTCCAGTCAATTCATAGAATCAGGAAAACCTTTCTAATATTTGGAAGATCTTTTTAAAAACTGTATCACAAGTTAAATATACTAAAGTCCCTTTATCTGTTTGTAATAATAGCAAAAAAAGAGGTAAAATCAATCAGGCATGATGTGTTTGTGAGAAAACCATGCTGGTTCTTAGTAATCACAGTAAAGTGTTGGAAAAATTAGTCACATTGTCTGACTTTTAATCTCTTAAGATATTCTGATACTTTTATCTGCATCAAATGTTATGCCTCCAGTGGCTTCGAAATAGTATCCAAATGTTGAGCCATTTTTTCAGACAGGCAGGAAGATGTTTTAGAGCTGCGCTAGATCAGGCACAATTCCTAACTGCCTCAGGCCCCTTCCTTTTCCACTTCAGCCGATTAAGTGGCTGAGGGGGAAAGGAAAAGGACCCAAGGCTGTTAGGAATTGTAGGAGTTGGGATCCAAAACATCTGGAGGACCAACGTTTACCCACGTCTGGTCTAGACAGTCTAACTTGACTCCCAACTGTGGTTATCAAGTGCTCAGGGAATGAATGCTGATTATGTATACACCAAACACCGTACAGTTCAAATATTTATGCGCTACTACTCAATTATTCAAGATTTTGCCCTTTTCAGATTGGGACTTGAGACTAGTCACAGTATGATTCAAAAGCAGAGTTGTAAAGCACAATTAAACCAATATCCATACTCATCATATTAAAACAGGCAGATAAAACACCACGAGATGAAGAAAAGGGTACAGCATTCCCACTAGCAAATTCCTACTAGCAAATCAGTTGCTTGGAATCTTGTTGAATAAAACTGTGTTTTTCTACTGTTAAACAAAACAGTGGAGAGAAAGGCTTCTCCAGAAGATGTTAAGACCCAAGCAAATACATACAGTATAGGGATGTAAGGGCCAGCACGCTGTGAGTGAGTTAGGGTGATGTCACTCACATTTATGCCATCATAATCCCTTTTCCCATAGTGCTGGGATCTAGTCCGATTGTACAATGACCAAAATACCCCATACCCACCTTTCCAGTGAGGAAAAATACATGCCCATCTAATACTACCATGTTTGCATCGGTGAAAAGCAAAGGGAGCAGCAAAGACATATTTCCAGCTATTGCAGTGTGGCAGGCATCTTCTGGGAGATCTGTGATTATGTCAAGTTAAAGGAAATGGCTGGCTGCATTTTTGTTGCTTTATCTTCAGTCTATCAACCCAGAAATTGTGATCTTGAGGGAGCTGATATTGAACTGCCCCAATTATGAACCACAGCCCCCCTTAAATGGATTGCTAGCAGCTCAGTGTTCCCTGCTTGTCCTATGGTAACCTTTTCATGAATTTCTCCAAGAAGGTTGCTGTGCCGCACCTTAAGACTTCAGGATATAGTCTTCTCATTTCCATAATCCCTTCACAAAGCCCTGGGAAGACTCGGAAACCACACAGTGGGTTTGCACAATAGCCCAAGAATCCTCTTTCTTTTGGCACCTGGTATGATAAAATTATCCTGGAAACTCTTCCTTATCTGTGTTTCCAACTTAGACCTCTCCCTGGGGCTTCTATTGATACAGCTGACTTTCCAAGCACCTTTTGTTTATTTGGACTGACACTATTATGCTAATCAGAACTGGAATATTAAGACCCATTTCAGCACATTATCTCTTGCCACACAACAAGATTGTGCTCCTCTCAGGGACGGATCAATAAACAAGACACCTACTTAAAACTGAACCACTAAAGGTTTAAGTTTCCTACCATAGTGGAGACCAACCAGCAAAGATGTTGGAGGGAATCCCATACCAACCACAAGTCGGATCCTAGCCGGACACTTTCTGACCTATTTGGAGGCTAGCGTTGGTATCTTGAATAGCTGTCAAATGTAATAAATGTCCTTTGTATTCACAACTGCAGTATATCAGTTACTTGGAGTGCTATCTCTGCTGGCATCCTCCCTGGCCATTGAGAAATAAACCTCCAATTTTGCTTTCAACCTGTGTCTCATTTGGCCTTCTGGGAAGCTAAACATTGTGTTGGGGAAGGAGAATACACTAAGATATGCCTAGCTGCTATGTGCCAGGATGTTTTTCCAACAGCTTTATAGGTCACGGACAGCACTTGAATTGCACCAAGAAATGAACCTGTTGCTGAGAAGTCACTTTGGAAAACTATCAAATGAGGTTAAAACTTTACATGTGTATGACCTAAACTCATTTCTAAATGTCCAGTGAATGTGTGAATATTTGGGTTTTCTTTTGATTTTAGTTGTACAATATTTCTTCCAGGCACAGAATATTTTTTCTAAATGGAATGTAATCTCCAATGGCCCTTTGTAAAATTACTTGCTTGCAGAGTGAAAGATGGTCTTCAAGAAAACAAACCATACTTGATTTATTTGTACTGCGTAATTTATTTTATAAAGTTTATTGTATATTGTTTAATTATTTGATATGTTAATTAGGACCTGTGGTCTACATGCACTTTATCAGTACAATAAATGTTCATAATATAGTCATGTTAAAGCACTATATACTCAGATTTTAGTTGATTCGGGTAATACAAACCATACGCTAGATCAGAAAATTTGCTTCTATCATTTTATATACCCAAAGATGTTTTGCACCTGTTTTCTTCGGTGTTCCCAGATGCTTCTAAATTACAAAAGTATTTTACAAACACACTTGCTATAATTCCACCCAAATTAGACACATTAAATAAATAAATCGTACAAACACGAGCAGTTCAATGGGAGTGGTTCCAAAGTGAAATTGATTAGGATGGGGTTGGTGGTACTAATTTATTTTATTTATATATTTACTACAATTATATCCCACCCTTCTCACCCCAAAAGGGGAGCTCAGACCAGCCTTACAAAAAGGCAGTAATTTGATGCCATACACATATATACATAGAATAAAAATAAACATATACATTAAAACCAAAAATCAACAGCAATATTAAAACAATTATTAAAATCATGTCATCCAGAGTCAAATCCAAAGACATTCCATAGTCATTTCACAATTCCATATACTCATATTGCACTAATTTGCTAGCTTGGTCCCAGAACCAGGTTTTTACTTTTTCCTGAAGAACAGGAGGGAGGGGGCTGTTCTGATTTTGCTGGGAAGGGAATTCCACAGATGAGGGGCCACCACTGAGAAGGCCCTGTCTTTTGTCCCCACCAGTCGCGCCTGTGAAGGTGGTGGGACCGAGAGCAGGGCCTCCCCAGAAGATCATAACCTCTGTGGTAGATCATAGAGAGTGATACGTTCGGACAGGTAAACTGGACTGGAACTGTTTAGGGCTTTATAGGCTAAAGCCAGCACTGTGAATTGTACTCTGGAAGCCAGTGGAGCTGACGCAACATGAGAGTTGTGTGCTCCCTGTACCCCTCTCCAGTTAGAAACCTGGGTGCTGCCCATTGGACCATTTGAAGCTTCCAAACAGTCTTTAAAGGCAACCCCACATAGAGCGTGTTGCAGTAATCTATGCAGGATGTAACAAGAGCATGGACCACCATGGTCAAGTCTGACTTACCAAGGTATGGGTGCAACATGGGATTCCAGGCTCAACGATGAATCAAGGATCACTCCCAAGCTGCGAATCTGTGACTTTATGAGAAGTGTAACCCCGCTCAACACAGGCTGTAACCCAAATTGTTATTTGAAATTCATAGCAAAAGAACCAAAATAAAAATGTACAATATTATTATATTAGTACACTGGTATATTCTGTAATTCCAACCAGTAAGGACATTGCCGCACAAAGTTCTGAAATCGGGTTCTGGCATTGCAAACCAATTTTATTTTGAAGAAATAAATGTTAGGCAACATTTTCACTTTTTACATTATTCCTCCAAGCAAGGAATAGGCAATATACTGTATTGTTTCATATCTTGTATAATTTTATTGAAGATTTGTACTACAAGTCTGTAGAAACTACCACTGTAGCAGTCAACTGGGTTCATCAGCTTTTGTTCCTCAAGGTAATTTATATAATTTGTCTTGAAATTTTAATAATGCTAATGCATTCAGGCAATCTATTTATGGATATAAGGAGTTATCAACACTACAAGAGAAATAAGAGCCATACTGGTAATGTCAGAGGCAGCTTTATTATACCTGAGGAAAGAGTCTGTACACTATCAAATCATTTTATAACTATTAATTTCCTTTATGTATTCTCTAAAGCACACATTCAGTGGTAATAAGAAATAGATAACATGCATCTATAAGGATAACATTCTTCAGTTTCCGAGCACAGCTCAGCTTTGTATCAGAGTTCTATGAGATAACATAAAGTAGGTTTTATAGAAGCATAGAATTCAATCCATTCCAGTGGCAACAAAAGAGTGATTAAACATATGTAGATAATGAGGGGGAAAAACAAAAAACCTCCATGTTCAGGTGAAGATGACTTACATTTTAAATGGATAGGAATTTGATTTAGCTTCTGTAAATGTACGATTTAAAATGTGCATCTAAATACTAAAAGACAAAGGGTTCGCTTTCAACATCATGGGACAGTGAAGCTAAAAATCCATACAGCATCATAGTTATGCTGATGAGTTGTTCTATGTAGATCAGTGGTTCCCAACCTTTTTTTGACCAGGGACAACTTGACCAGGGACCACTTTGACCAGGGACTACTCTCCAACATTAGTACCAAAAAGGTTACGAATCATTTTTTGGTCAACTTTAGATTTGGTTTGGTTATTTGGAGTGCTGATTCAGAAAATTGCATTGGATAGACCTTGTCAGCTCTAGTTTCTGTTACAGAACATATGCCATCCAGTAGTTGCCATCTGACTGCCCACAGAAAACCATGTAAGCCGCCTTGAGTCCCCTTCGAGGTCGAGAAAGGTGGGATATAAATACAGTCAATAAAATAAATTAAAATGAATGTTTAATAAGCCTCGGCACTATAAGGTTTTGCGAGACCAGTTGCTCTTGTTGCAACAGTGAGGCCGGTGACCATATTTTAGTTCTTGCGGACCACTGGTGGTCCATGGACCACAGGTTGGGAACCACTGGTGTAGATAAAAATATGCATGCCAGCTCTAAATTTCAAAAGGGGTTGTTACCTTTTGTAGATATTCCATTCTGTCCATGTTAATTTTAATTAAAATTTTAATTGTGTTAGTTTTCACTTTTGCAATACACTATTTTTTCTGCATTTCATGCACTTCAAATGAAACAGCTCTTAATAATGATGTGATGCACTGCTCCTGCCAGCATCCCAGATACACTTACGTCTTGTTACAATGTTCAATTTCATATTTGTTTTGACTCACAAAGTGCTTTGTACTTTGGTTTTTATATTAAGCTGTTAAAATCAGAAAGATTAATTTAAAAAATATTATGAAAGAACCTACCTTGCAAGTAGGAAGATAAACAAACCTAAAAGTATTTTAAGGATGGATTTATTATCACATGGGCTTTTCCAGTCAAGATCAATTGATTGTAATCGCCTTCTCAAAAAACTCATTTTAACTCTTTCAGGTCTGCCTCCATGCCTGAGAAAGCAGGATCAACTTGGCTGTATCATGGACTTTGATTAGAGGCAGTCATATCCAACTGTGGGTGTTAACTTGAGAATGAGAGTGAAGTATAACAAGTTATACATACTCATTTGACAGCAGCATTATGTTGTCCAGAAGGTTCTGTGTTGGTGTTGTTCTTGTTGTTATGAGCCTTCAAGTTGACTTGGACACACTTCCAGAGTTTTCTTGGCAAGTTGTATTAGTACTCGGAAGAGATTTTCTATTTTTTTCTAAGGCTGAGAGAGTGTGATTTCCACAAGACCATTCCAAAGATGTCCGTGTCTTAGTGTAGTGTTTCTCAACCTTCCTAATGCTGCGACCCCTTAAAACAGTTCCTCATGTTCTGGTGACCCCCAACCATAAAATGATTTTTGTTGCTAATTCATAACTGTAATTTTCCTACTGTTATTAATCGTAATGTAAATATCTGATATGCAGGATGTATTTTCATCCACTGGATGAAATTTAGCACATATACCTGATATGCGCAAATTTGAATACTGGTAGATTTTTCTGGGCGGGGGGTGGGGGGGGGGTGGGTGATTTTGTCATTTGGGAGTTGGAGTTGCTGGGATTTATAGCTTGCCTACAATCAAAGAGATGATGGAATTGAACCAAACTTGGCACACAGAACTCCCATGGCCAATAGAAAATACTGGAAGTGTTTGTTGGGCGTTGACCTTGTGTTTAAGAGTTGCAGTTCACCTACATTTAGATAGCATTGTTGACTCAAACAATGATAGATCTAGATCAAACTTGGCACAGATACTCAATATGCCCAAATGTGAACACTGGTGGGGTTTTACTTTAGTTTTGCTAGGGCCATATAGCAATGGTGAGGGAAGACAGGTGTTATTTGCTGGGTCCAAATAGCTGATTTTCCCCCAATGTCATCCTTTATTTAAGCCCATTGTGGCTGCAGCCTATTTCCTCCTACCACCATTATCTACACTACTATAATACAACAAGAATCTGGCCCTAGGATCCAGGCCAAAGCCGGGGAAAAAAATAATCTGTTGTAATTTACAGTCCAATGGCCTTTCTGAATTCCAAATCTTGTGATCCTGAGATATCATAAAAAACTCTACTTTTATCAAAACTCTCTCTGATGACAAGCAGATCTTGTACAGAATAATTATCATGTTTTCCGGTCCAAATGGTGAGGGTGTATCTGAAACAACAGTTACCAAAATGCATATGCTTTGTTTTAAAGAAAAATATACACAAACAACATAAGCAAATAAAATAATAATATTTAAGATGGTTATATTGATGGTTAAAAAGAGCTCTGGAATATTCAATTCAAGGTGCAGGTTATGACCTATAAAGCTCTAATGGTTTGGGCCTCTCCTATCTCCTATCACATCTCCCCCTACAAACTGGCATGGACTCTTAGATCTACCAAGAAGGCCCTTCTCTCGCTCACACCACCGTCTCAAGTGTGGCTGGTGGGGACGAGGGAGAGGGCCTTCTCGGTAGTGGCCTCCCACCTCTGGAACACCCGCCCCAGAGAGATAAGACACGCCCCATCACTTGCCTCCTTCTGGAAGGACCTGAGAACCTGGTGGTTCCAGCAGGCTTTTAGAAATGATTAGCCTCAGGCCCTATCCTGGCTATTAGGTTCCTGCTCTGCACTCTACACTCTTCCCCGACCCTTTGCTACTAGCCGTAGTCTAGCCTATTATAGCTATTCAGCAAGCCCTGGAAATGAATAGCCCCAGGCACCACCCAGGCCATTATGCACCTTACCCACTTCCCTGGCCTTTTGTTTCCCTGTTGGCCCAGGCCTCTTATGGTTGTGCAGCAGGCCTTGAGAACCCAGTAACTTCGGTTTGGATAAGGACACTTTGGTTTATTGCTTGTAGATAGCCAGTTTTATTCACGGCTTCTACTGCATTTTATGAATTTGTATCTGATGAGGTTTGTGTATGTTTGTTGTTTTTAGATTTATATTGTTTATATATGCTTGCGTATTGTTGTCTTGAGTGAAGCACTTCGTAGTGCTTTTGTGACCCGACCCGAGTCCCTTCAGAGAGATGGTGGTGGGGTACAAATAAACCTATTATTACTATTATTATTATTACTACTACTACTATGTATAGTATTTTATTAAAATAAATAGATAATTGATATGAACCATACCTGTTCGATTGCTGCAATAACCATTGCAGTTCAGATATGGACTGGCGGACAAAAACTGCTCTTACAGGAAATGTTATCGGCTGAGTAAGATCTGAACATATTGCTGCCATTTCCTGCACCATTGCAGAACTATAGCCTGCAAAGACAACAAACAATTAGGATCCAGGAATCCTCAGCATCAGTACACCACAAAATATCCACTGTCACAAAATGTTATTATTTTTTAAAAGGCTATTTATTGAAATATGAATTATAAAACTTTTTTCAGGGACATCGGAAAACCATTGAGAAGTGAAACAAATCTTGCACCTTTCTACATATTTCTATACGATTTCAGCCAAAGACCAACCTATATTCAGGAATCAGGATAACTACAATTTATTTTTAGGATAATAATGATGATGATGATGTTTTGAAGCACAATACTCTTAACCTCACAATCGTGTTAAAAGACAAAGTATGGATCGTCGATGTTGCAATCCCAGGTGACAGTAGGATTGAAGAGAAACAACTGGAAAAGCTGACATGATATGAGGATTTAAAGATCGAACTGCAAAGACTCTGGTCCCAGTGGTGATTGGCACACTGGGTGCAGTGCCTAAAGACCTTGGCCTGCACTTAAACACAATCGGCACTGACAAAATGACCATCTGCCAGTTGCAGAAGGCCACCTTACTGGGATCTGCACACATTATTCGCCGATACATCACACAGTCCTAGACACTTGGGAAGTGTCCGACATGTGATCCAATTCAACAGCCAGCAGAGTGTCTGCTGTGGACTCATCTTGTTGTTGTGTTTCAAATAATAATAGGAAAATGGATCTATCAGTGTATTATTTATATGAGGAAGGTTTAGAGAAAGAATTACAAAAACCAAGAGAATGTGACAGTATATTTTGAAAAATAAACAAAATGTTCACAAATATTTAATTAACACATTAAATACCACAATCAAATACAAGTTTTGTACAGGTTAGTAACTTATTGTACAGGCCTCTGATTTGTTTCATGCCTCTCCAAGTTTGATTATGACATACAGAAAAGTATTTATAAACTGGATTGCACAAAAACCATGTACAGGTGGGTCATAAACTTGATAAATGTTTCAAATATATCAGAACATTCATATTGCAGACCATCCTATTCATCAAAACAAGATCCCTGAATCTATTTTTAGAAACCAATTCTAAATTCCATTTTCAGTAATTAAATAGGTAGAACTGCTTGCTCATTCTTTCATTAATACAGAGCAGCTTCTTTCATTTTAATTATTTGTGGTTTGGGAAGCATCAAAGTTCCCATACCTGGAAAAACATATTTCTGTGTAAAAGAAAAAACAAACTGAAAGCTCAGCCCTGGAGGCACTACCATGGCCATTTCCTTGCCAGCCAGCACCTGGGCTAGCGACAGTTATGCAGATGCTCCCCACTCCCCAGATCTCCAGTGAATATCTGAAAATCTAGAAAAGCCACTTATTCCCCCCCCCCCCCCCCCCCCCCCCCGTCTGCAGCTAAGTGCTGCCTGGTTGTCTTGCCTTCTCTTCCATCCTTCATGACAAGCAAATGGCTATGGCAACACCACAGGATGTGAGCTGGACACTACATATAAGCTACTGGATACCTCTTTTAAAAGACATGGACAAACAACTCAGATCTTCCATGCCAAGGTGCTTGCTTCTGATCGATCAATGTCCTCATGGGAGCCTTGACTATCTCCCCACTAAAAGTAACTACTCGCATTTCTGCTTTTGACCTGCTAGGTGGGCAGATGAGCTGGGGCTAATGGTAGGTGCACACCCTGACCCTGACCTTTCAATTGGCAGGATTTTTCTGATTTTCAATGGCAATCCAATGAATTCCATAGGGTTTTCTTAAGCACAGAATATTCAGAAACAATTTGCCATGTTCTTCCTCTAAAACATAGCCTACAACACCTGGTATTTATTAGCAGTCTCCCATCCAAGCAATAACCAGGGCGGACCCTGCATGGCATCCAAGATCAGATGGAATCTAGTGTCTTTTGGGTATTCAAATATGTATTGATTATTCTTACCGTTACTGCATTTTAAAGCTGTCCATCCAGTTGTCCACCCTAAAGACAATGTTACATCTGGAAAAAATGATGTCACTGTATCAAGAAATCCCTTTGCATCTACTACACAATTACTTCCATTTGGTCCAGGGAGAATGTCTGCATTAATCCAGACTGGCTGTTTGAGTTTCGTGTCTTCAAGAATCTTCATAGAGGGATTCACGGCCTCTAGGCTATAAACACAGGGAAATACATTTTAATATATAAGGGCAGGAAGGTGCATTGTGTATTTCACACTAACTACAAATACTTCAGGTGTAGAGGACTTGGGCCTTTCTAGAAGTTAAAGGATGACAATTCCCTTATCTGATAATGAAATAAGCTGGTCGCAATTGGAATGTAATATCATCCGGAGAGCGTGACAGTTTCTCACTCTTGGCATACATGCTAGAATCAGGTTAGATAATGCTCCCATATATTAAATTTAGAAAATGCAGTGCAATACTTTGATGTTTATACTTTTTTAAAGTATCTGAGACAGCTGAATCGTTTGGATTTATATTATAGCTGAAGATATCCTTACTTTACTACTGTACTGCTTTATTGATATTACTAATCACACCTATATTTTAAATATTATCAGTGACTCAGTGTACTGCAAATGAAATAGTACTGTAGAGTATACATCATCTTAATAAAAACTCTACTCTCTGGTTCTGACCTGGCTGTATGCCTGAGGCTTGGCTGAATAATGAAGTCTACCTGTCAGAACATAACACGAGGTGTAAGCCAGAGACACCTGACCTATGTTGCTGGAGGAACACAGCATGTAGGACAGAGGTGCTTGGGCTGCCAGATCATTATTTTTTTACTATTCTGGCATTCATCTGTTTATTTATCTTTCCATTCATTCCATCATTATTTCATCTCCCTTTTTAGTTAGCTTTTTAGTTTTAGGCACAATCTACACTGCCAAATAATGCGGTTTCATTATGCACTTTAACTGCATTGAACTGTATTATATGGCAGTGTATATTCAAACAATTGAGTTCAATGCAGTATTCCGAAACTGTATTATATGGCAGTGTAGATGGAGTTTAAATTCTACAATAAAATTCAGATGCAAAGTGGCTGAATGTGAGAGGACAGTCTGGAGAGATACAACAGGGCAGTGGTCCATGTCTTAGTACAATGTTTCTCAACCTTCCTAATGCTGTGACCCCTCATGTTGTGGTGACTCCCAACCATAAAATTATTTTTGTTGCTACTTCATAACTGTTAATTTTGCTACTATTATGAATCATAATGTAAATATCTGATATGCAGGATGTATTTTCATTGTTACTTCTGTTTCTCTTTGGAATTCGGCCATAGAGGGGCCACTCAACCCCTCTCTAAGCCTTGCTCTCCCCCCAAGGCCCCCTCCCTAGGCCCCATTCTCTCACTTTCTAACCTCCAGCTCCTCCTCCAAAGCACCAATTAAGCACCAAAATATCATATTTTACAACAAATGGACAGAAAAAGCAGTTCTGTACACAGTAATGTTATGTAGTGATTACTGTATTTAAAAATTTAGGACCAAAACATTGTAATGTATTGAAACAGCTGTGGATCCAGGTGGAAGGCAGGCTGTGTTGGATAATACAGAATGTTGGATGAGCGAAGGTTGGATAAGCAAGACTCTACTGTATGTGTTTTCGATGGTCTTATGCGACCCCTGTAAAAGGGTCGTTCAACCTCCAAATGGTTGTGACCCACAGGTTGAGAACCTCTGCAATAAGACCTATGGATCTACAGGGAGAGATTGCCTGCTGAGGTCTGTAATGATCAAATAAGAGGAAATTAATAACTTATGCCATTTCATGGACTGCTCACAAATCCATTGGCTGGAATTGCCACATTTGCCCAAATGGATTAGTCTCTATTAGAACACTGTATTTCACTGAAAAGTATTGTAACTTGCAATACTGCTGTAACACTGTCCATAAGACACAGTATTCAAAGTGCAATCCTAGACAGATGTTACATTCCACTAAAAATTATTATCTTGTGTGTATAGGATTGCAGTCTTTGGTCAGAATCTGGTTGATGCATTATGTTGCCGGTTGCACTTTTTCTAGGTTTCCACAGTAGAGGCAAGGGAAAGCAAACAAATTTGCTGGCATAGACTGCCCAATTTCCCCAATGCTTTCATTCCTTTGTGGCCATTCTAACTCCAGCCTCTTCTCTCCTGCCATCACCGCCCACACCTGCAAAGTTATGCTCATGTATGTTCACCTGACAAATTAAAAACATACAAAGTTGTCCTGGATACCTTTTAAAATCAAGCTTGACGCCTTTGTTAGTGGTTTGTATTTCAGTTAGCCATTCCTTGAGTGTATTATCACTGCTTGTTTCCGGTGGGTGAGCCATAATTGGTTCACCGCCCTTTTTACCAAGAAGGACATCTGCTTCTATCATGTGGGCATTACCTGCGCATAAAAACAACAACACTGCAAATGTTATGGTATAAAAAACAACCTGAAAGTTACTGTTTCCTATTTTTAATACAACAAAATAACGGAAGACATTAGGTAACCCAATGGAAGAAACTGCAGTCTTTCCCATTTTCCATTGTACACAACAGGAGGATTACTCCAAGGCAGGAAAAATGAAATGCAGATACACAAAATGGGGGATGCCTTGCTCGACGACAGTACGTGTGAAAAAGATCTTGGAGTCCTTGTGGACAATAAGTTAAACATGAACCAACAATGTTATGTGGTAGCTAAAAAAGCCAATGGGATTTTGGCCTGCATAAATAAAAGTCTAGTGTTTAGATCCAGGGAAGTCATGCTTTTCCTCTATTCTGCTTTGGTCAGACCACACCTGGAATACTGTGTCCAATACTAGGCACCGCAATTGAAGGGAGATGTTGACAAGCTGGAATGTGTCCAGAGGCAGGCGATTAAAATGATCAAGGGTCTGGAGAAGAAGCCCTATGAGGAGCGGCTTAAAAAGCTGGGCATGTTTAGCCTTCAGAAGAGAAGTCTGAGAGGAGACATGATGGCCATGTACAAATATGTGAGGGGAAGTCATAGGGAGGAGGCTTGTTTTCTGCTGCCCTGGAGACTAGGATGTGGAGCAATGGCTTCGAACTACAGGAAAGGAGATTCCACATGAACATGAGGAAGAACTTCCCAATAGGGAGAGCTGTTCAGCAGTGGAACTCTCTGCCCTGGACTGTGATGAAGGCTTCTTCTTTGGAGGCTTTTAAGCAGAGGCTGGATGGATATCTGTTATAGGTAATTTGATTTTCACACTGGATGGCCCACAAGGTCTCTTCCAACTCTATGATTCTATGATTCTACTCTTTATTTATACTGGTTGAGAATGATGTGGCACAGTGTATTGCATCTTCCAGCATTCCTCACTATTAGCCATTCTAGCTAGGGCTAATGAGAACTGAAATCCAATGTCATCTGGAGGGCTACAGAATTTGTATTCCTCACTCGGACAAACTCAGTACTTGAACTATGTTACTTCCTGGAAGGAAAATGAAATTTTGGGACAATTCCCTTGTCCTTTCTGCATCTCACCTTACACTGTTTAGGGGGAGACGGTCTAAGAATATTTTGAAATGGTCCAGGTAAGTGATCAGGACAGGAAAAGGTGATAAACGTTCTGCCCATAAACGTCATTCAATACATTTAACTTAGAGTCTTGGACGATTCCTTCAAAGACCTTGTTTACAACTATGACTCCTGTGATTAAGCTTTTCCTCTTTTTACTGACAATTTTCTGTTTAAACAAATGTGAATCAATGAGTGGGAACAGTTATGGAACTGGAACTCAAAGCAAAGATGATTAGTTAATATTTTACTAATTGATTAATCACTACAGCATATATAGTCAGGGATCCATATGGCTTTCATTTCAACTAATGAGCTTTCATCACATGATAGAAGATCAGGATCTTTATATTTATGCCTGAATGAGAAGGGTTTGTGACGAAATGAAAATCATGTGTAGTTCACGTTTGACCAGTCCATACACTGTCTTGCCAGAGAAAGAAAATATGCCACGCAGATGATAATAAAGAACAAGAAGTTTACTCTTCGTAATGCAGAACAGATATATACTATTATGTAATCAGTTGCATTGACTCCCACAATGTCGTTTTAGAGAGATTAAAAATGGTCTTTTCTGTGTATATAAGAGAGAGACCTTCTTTCAGCAGTCAAGAAGCAAATCAATCTGTCTCTCTCACTGTCTGTAGACTTCTGCACAGCTAGCAGCCTGAATAAGTAACTGTGGCCCAAATCCCCAGGCTCAGCTAGCTCCTTGAGCATGGCCCAACCAATCAGCATTGTCTTGCATTTTCAGTTAACACACACACATCAACTGATTTTTACATGCCCCAACATGATTGGCCAAGACATTTGTATCATAAGAGAAAAATAGTGCCCTCCATCCAATTTTACATATAGACGCCAAAACAATGTAGCTATTTTTTTGTTTTAAATATATTTCCCAATAGATACTTACTCTTTATTGCCTCTCTCATTTGTAACTTATTATTTGCACGGTGATACCAGATGATTTCAGCCCCATCTCTTGTTTTAATCTGTTTGATATTCAGAAAATAATCCAATATATTTTCACTCCAAGACCCTATGTTTGGAATAGTAGAGAGAATAAATGTTCATGCAGGACAATTTCCAACGGTTTATTAATTCACCTTTATGCTAATGTTGCAAATAAAATATAACAGAAACAGCTCATCGAGCAATAAGGAAAAATAAAGATAACTAGTATTTAAAAAACAGTTATCTCATGGAGATAATTAAAAGTTTAACTGTTGATCAAAGTAGCCATTTCTGCAGCATCATATTTGTGTTTTTTCACTTTCGCAGGCATTCTATGTCCCTAACCCAAGCAAATGTGGAAAGTTGACTATATACCTTGGACTTCCTGATTCCCAATTAAAAGTATTATAAAAGGTAAAAGTCTCCCCTTGATATTAAGTCTAGTCGTGTCCGAATCTGGGGGGTGGTGCTCATCTCCATTTCTAAGCTGAGGAGTCGGAATTGTCGATAGACACCTGCTAGATCATGTGGCCGACATGACTGCATGGAGCGCCGTTGCCTTCCCACCAAAACAGTACCTATTATCTACTCACATTTGCATGTTTTCGAACTGCTAGGTTGGCAAAAGCTGGGGCTAACAATGAGAGCTCACCCTGCTCCAGGATTCAAACCACCAACTTTTCAGTCAGCAAGTTCAGTAGCTCAGTGGTTTTACCTGCTGCACCACTGGGGGCTCCGAAAAGTATATTTACCAAGTATTTCCAATTTAATTAAAGCATGAGAAGAGCCTGCTGGACCAGACCAAAGGATTCTAGCCCGGCATTCTGTTTCCCCAATGGCAAGCCAAATCCCATTGCAAAGCCCATAAGCAGGCCAAAAAGGCAAAACCACCATCAGTTGCTGCTAGATATTCTGAAACAAACTACATCTGATATATGAAGTAATATACTGCAGGTGCTCCAGATAAGCTTTGAGGAAGAGAACACTAGGGGAAATGAAAAAACATGAAAAGAAAAAAAACATATTTTTTTAGCCATGAGAACATCCCTCAAGGCATTTGTAGGTCCTCCAGTGCAATTCTATGATAAGTTTCCACAAATAATTGCACAGTAGGCTGTTAGGAATTGTGGGAGTTGAAGTCCAAAACACCTGGAGGGCCGAAGTTTGCCCATGCCTGATCTAGATGATGCACTGCGCCAGACGCTATGCTTTTTCCAGGAGAAAACAGCAGTGAAGAAGAAAGGCAGACAAAATCTACCAGCCTAAAGGTCACCTGACATTAAGTCCAGTCGTGTCCGACTCTGGGGTGTGGTGCTCATCTCCATTTATAAGCCGAAGAGCCGGCATTGTCCGTAGACACCTCCAAGGTCATGTGGCTGGCATGACTGCATGGAGCACCGTTACCTTCTCGCTGGAGCGGTGCTTATTGATCTACTCACATTTGCATGTTTTCAAACTGCTAGGTTGGCAGAAGCTGGGTCTGACAGCGGGAGCTCACACCACTCCACGGATTCGAACCTGCAACCTTTCAGTCAACAAGCTCAGCAGCTCAGCACTTTAACCCACTGCACCACCGGGGGCTCCTCTTTTTCCAATATCTTACTTACTTTACAGCTGCTACACCTGTGGATATTTCCCGCTTGCTGCCACAACCCATGCCAATGTAGCTACAACAGGAAAGTGTCAGTACATATTTATTCCAGGGTAAAAGCTTCCAGACGGGTTGCAATTCTGGATTATAAACTCCCACTGAAAGGTGCTTTTTTGAAATTTACTCACAGGACCGAGTGAAATGGAATTATGTTGGCACTTAATACATAATACTTGTCCCATAATGCCCGGATTTATTATCAGTCCCTACATATGAAAATTAGTGATGCGTACAGTTTCTGCCCACCCGCAGAGCAGAAAGGCATGATTTGTTTTTTCAAATCCGAACAAAACATCTCTCTCTGGGCCTTTTTCAACACAATTCAGTGAAGTAATTGCAGCTGTGCAGCTGTTGCTCTCGTTCTTTAAAAAGGATTAGAAAAGCTCTGTTGAGAGATGCACTATCCATGGCAAGGATATTACATTTTCCCAAGACATAGACTACAATATCTTGTTACAGAGAAATTAGATTTCCCTCCCAGATATGACATCTATCGCAATTATGAGTGTTGTGTTAAATGCGGTTGTACAAATGCCAGAGGCACCCACTAAATGGCACATGTGGCAGAACTGATGACAAATGGCTTAACTTTCTCAATGCCTGACATTACGGTTCTTTGATGTGCTTTCAGTTGTTTGAAATGATTGAGGGTCACTGTCAAGGCACCACAGCAACCTCATAAGCCTGATTGTTTAATAGGTTTTGTGGATCTGCTTTTATTATATGCATCTTTTAGTGCTGTAAGCCATTCAGAGTTTCTCTTGGAGGAGAAAAGAGAGCAGGTTCTAGGGCAGTGGATCCCAGTCTGTGGTTGGTGGACCACCAGGGGTATACAAGAACAAAAATATGGTCTGTGGCCTCACCATTACTACATCGTTGCTGTTGTATATCAGCCTGTTCAGGCTGTGATTATGTGTAATGATCAAAGTGCTTTGGATGATGGGAATGACAATGTTCATGAGTTGTAGGTTTTTTCGGGCTATATGGCCATGTTCTAGAGGCATTCTCTCCTGACGTTTCGCCTGCATCTATGGCAAGTATCCTCAGAGGTTGTGAGGTCTGTTGGAATTCAATAGCATTAACCCATGGCAGCTATAGCGGTATCAAACTGCACAGTGCAGATGCACCCCAAGACTCTGGAATTCCCAGCCTAAAACCCAGGAGAACAATGATTGCAAACCTCTTCTTCTGAACTAAACCTTGCCTAGAAAATCTTGTGATAGATTCGCCACAAATCGGAGAAGATTTAAAGGCACACAACCATGGAAAACCTCTCTTTGCCTCTTCACTGGAGGGTGTTTGGGAGCTGAGAGCTTGCTTCTCCCTCTCTCTGCAAAAACGGAAGTGCCCCCCTGCGGCTGCAGTGGTACCGCCCGCAGCTCATTCATTCCGAGATGATCAGGACAAGCCCAATATGAATGGAGGGGCGGCACGGCACTTTCTTACCTTGTCCTCCTCCTTCCATGTCAATTTCGGGATTAGACAGCACAGGAAGCCTTCCCACGTGGCCCTGGAGTCACGGGGTGGGTGCATCCACAATGCAGAATGAATATAGCTTGACACCACTTGCCCTTTTGTGTCTCAAAGCTTTGGAATCATGGGACCTGTAGTTTGGTGACGCTCCAGCACTCTTGGGCAAAGATGGCTAAAGACCTTGCAAAACTCACAATGGGTTTTGCTGTGAGTTTTTCGAGCTGTATGGCCATGTTCCAGAAGCATTCTCTCCTGACGTTTCTCCTGTATCTATGGCAGGCATCCTCAGAGGTTGTGAGGTCTGTTGGAAACTAGGCAAGTGGGGTTTATATATCTGTGGGATGTCCAGCCATTCAATGCTAATCAAGGTGGCCAACTGCAAGATTCACACTTGCCTCAAGCAGACAAGAGTTCTTTCTCCCACCCTGGACATTCCACAGATATAAGAGGGTTGAATGAAAAGTAATGCCTCCACCTTTGTTACTTGGGTTTGGATAGGACTATTTTAATAAATCAAACGCATAAATACTCCTTAGAATGTGCTCTTCAACTACCATTATTCACTGTACAGCTCAGAAAACTCATAGCAGTCCACTGATTCCAGCCATGAAAGCTTTCAACAACACATTTATCGCTTTTAATTGGTACGGAACTGTGCAAAAAGGCTGCCTCCTTATCTTTAATAATATAATGGCAAATGGCAATGAAACTTCAGGACCAAGGAGACATTCCAACTATGGACTGCATTGTATGAATCAATATACTTTCCCTATTATTTCCAGGCTATTTCTGTATGGTACTATATTTTCTGTTAATTAAACACATCAACTTCATTGCTTCTGCTGAGTATGCATGCCCAGCTGCCCTTGCGCTATGCTACTCTGCTGCTGAGTATGCATGCCCAGTGTGGAACACATCTCACCACGCTAATTCAGTGGATGTGGCTCTTAATGGGACAAGACAAGGCTGTCTGTTGTCCCCACTATTGTTTATTATGGGATTAGAAATCTTAAATGTAAGGATAAGGGAAGAGAAAGAAATCACTGGTTTAAAGATCAGCGGCCAAGAACTAAAAATTAGGGCTTATGCAGATGATATAGTCTGTATCCTAACTAACCCACTACAAAGTATTAAAAAACTATTGGATACAATCCAAAGATATGGTGACATATCAGGATTTATCATAAATAAGGAGAAATCTAATTTTTTAGTAAAAAATATAGATGTTAAAAGTCGCAAGAAATTGGAGGCCGCAGCAGACTGCGAGGTGATAACGAAAGTAAAATATCTAGGAATATGGCTTTCAAACAAAAATATCAATCTATTCCAGGATAATTACGTTAGAACATGGGAAGACATAAAAAAAGATCTCACTAGATGGCAAACAATCCCTCTAACTTGGATGGGCAGAATTGCAGTAATAAAAATGATGGTACTCCCCAAAATGTTATTCCTGTTTCAAAATATACCTATTATTAAAGGAACAAAAATATTTGAGAAATTATTATTATTATTATTATTATTATTATTATTAATAATAATAATAATAATAATAATAATAATAGAATCAGAAAGTTTGCAGTCTAACGTATTTTAAAATATGTAAATAATATGGTCAGTGTAATCATATTTGCTTGGACACTGAACTAGGACTCTGGAAACCAGAGTGAATCCCTGTTTCCTCACAGAAACGCACTGGGGACACTCTCTCGGCCTCAGCAGCAGGCAAAGGCAAACCCCCTCTAAACAATCTTGCCAAGAAAATGACATGATAGGTTTACCTTAAATCAGGAATAACATGACAACATGAGACAACAACAAATAAAGCCTATAAAATGTCAAAGACATCTAGACTCATAGAATAGCACAGCAGGTTAAGCCACTGATTACAGGAAAAGCTGCTGACTGGAGGGTTAGCAGTTCAAATCACAAGTCGGGGTGAGCTCCCAACTGTCAGCCCTAGCTTCTGCCAACCTAGTAGTTTGAAAGCATGCAATGCGAGTAGATCAATAGATACCTCCTTGGTGGGAAGGTAAAAGAGCACCCCATGCAGACATGCCAGCAATAGCAGGGACCTCAGCATGGAAAAATGGAACAAGAACACTTCCCCATGGCCAGAGTTTTGCATCGCCTCCAGACGCCGGAGATGAAAAGGGGAAGGCCTTTACCTTGTCTGTGTATTGAATGTTGTTGTTTATTATGTAAAAAGCATTGAATATTTGCCTTATATGTATACTGTAATCCACTCTGATTCCCTCCAGGGAGATAAAGCGGAATATAAAGAGTTGTTGTTGTTATACACTTTAGGGATGGCCATCTGTCGGGGGTGCTTTGAATGCGATTTTCCTGCTTCTTGGCAGGGAGTTGGACTGGATGGCCCACAAGGTCTCTTTAACTCTAGGATTCTATTGTTGTAGTTGTTAGAATCAGAAAGTTTGCAGTCTAACATATCATTTTAATCAAACATAAATCAAAGAGACAGACAGACATATAGACACACAATTTCCTTCTGTTGATAACAAACAGGAACATTATGCAGGTATTATCAAACTTATTTAGATTACTGATCTCAATCATTGCCATAGGTAAATGCTTATTTAATGAAAATACCCCATTATAAAAATAAGAACTGTATAAAGAGCTCAAGTATGTTACAGCAAACTGTTCATGAAAATTCACACTTAATATACTGTTCTCCCTGGAAGTAAACAGGGATAGCAAGACGTCTCAAAATCAGAGAAGGAAGCACAGGCAGGCTTCGTGGCCTGGTTTACTGCTACAAGATGACTACTTTAAGGGTCATCTGGCTTCTTACTCATTCTTGGGAATCCAAGAAACAACTGTACAGGTGAGCAGACAAAAAATAAAATAAAGATTGAGTATTTAATATAAAGACTAATATATGTTCAATAAATCCATATAAATGTATAACAAAGTGAGTAATTCAAAAAGTAGTTCAGTGGTGCTGTTAAATTTTGGAAGCATTGTTATACACTTGGAACATACCAGCTTTAAAAATGGGGTGTCTTACAAAATGATCACACTTGGCAGAGATATGTATGTTTCCTCACACTGGTAATATTAGTTTGTGCGAACATCTTCCAGACATTTTAAATACGTGCATGCTCTAGTAAATCCGCAGCTTATATATCTGACCCTCAAATTTCAACTAGGAGCTGTTCTGTTCTGCCTAAACATGCTTATATTTTTTGTAAAAATAAATCAAAATATCAGTTTAGAATAATTAATTAAAGCAGCATCTAAGTAAAAATAACAATTAAAGCATTTATTTGCAAAAGAATGATGGCTAACTTCAGCATTTCAAAAACATACGCTAGTTTAGTCCATTCTTCGCTTTCTAGTGACTGTATTAAGTGTAAAGTTTCAGAACGTTATTAAACCCAAGTTTTAAAACTGAGCTTTCAAGTTGTGGTTATAAAGAAATACACCCACTTTTAAAAAGGCAAAATCCTCCTAAAGATACATTACTAAAACATTGGTTTTTCAAAAAAAAAAATTCTGAACATTCCATCCATGGTGTAATATAACTCCTTTGGTACTGGTCAGTGCTAGTAGTTCAGTCCATTGCAGCATACACATCGGTTACATTGACAGAGATTCCATAATGAAAAATATCAATTCAATTTCCAGCGGAAGATTTGTAGTATTTGATGTTCCACCATGAATCACGGGAATCAAAGCACCATCTAAATCATTTAGGTAATGCTGAGGAAGAAGGTGCCCTCCAGATCCAGCTTGGTATTCCACCTAAAATGGAGAAAGATTCTGTTAGATATACTTTTATAGGCACTCCCTAAGTTACAAACAAAAGATGTATTGTCGAAGGCTTTCATGGCTGGAATCACTGGATTATTGTAGGTTTTTCGGGCTGTATGGCCATGTTCTAGAAGTATTCTCTCCTGACGTTTCACCTGCATCTATGACAGCCATCCTCAGAGGTTGTGAGGTCTGTTGGAAACTAGGAAAATTGGGTTTATATATCTGTGGAGAGTCCAGGGTGGGAGAAAGAACTCCTGTCTTGGAGGTAGGTGTGAATGTTTCAATTGGCCACACTGATTAGCATTTGATGGCCTGACAGTTTTTAGGTGTGGCTTGTTACTGCCACACCTACAATTATAACTGTAAGTAAAGAACAACACTCAAACACAGGGGAACTCCAGACAAGAAACTATCAGGGACAGCTAATCACCTCTCAACAAAGGATTCCCCCAGGCTTCTAGAACATGTCCATACAGCCCGAAAATCCTACAACAACCCAAGATATGTTCTGTAGATCTGTTCTTAAGTTACATTTGTATGTAATTCAGATCAGGTACATTATTTGTAACTACAGTCCATTTTTTCTTGTTTCGGATAAAATTTGCTGTCTGTGCCTCTGTTCAAAAGATTACACCTCACTTTTTGTCTCTGTGATAATTGGATTTTGAAAATTGTTGGTTGCTGTGGAAACAAGGATTGACAACAAAGCTTCAGTAGAGACACATTTTCTCCATCCTAAGTCTTCCTAGGTGTAGATTTCCTCTCACTTCCTATTGTTTCACACCCATTTGTAAATCGGAGTAATGTTTAAGTTGGGTGTTTGTAACTTGGGAACTCCTTGTACCAAGAATGGAGAACTACAAAAGGCCGGCAGGGTATGTGCGTGGAGCCATTTCAACCACTATGATCCTTGGCAGGATGGCTGTCACAAAAACAGCTTAGGGGTTACAGGTTGTCCTCAGGGAGCATTTACCCACTGTTGTATTATACCAACATGAAGCAGACAAGTATATATTTAGGTTTTTACCCCATTATAATTACAGTTCAGCATTTAAAAAAGTTATTCTAAAACATTCTTGTAAAAGGCCCTTTTGGCTATATGATTGCCCACAGAACAGATTCAGCTGCAACTTAGTTTGTGCTTGGAAGGGGAAGCTCCCTTAATTTAAAGAACTTTCTAATCAGTGGGTGGTATCGGGCCCTTTTCTTTAATTAAATTGTAAAGCAACTTGTGTTCTTCTGATGAGTCTATGTGATAGTTCACATGAATGGTAGAATACTAGCTAGGAA